CCTGTAAACCTTGATTCTCTTGAGCCATATCTTAAGCAGTCTGTTACAAATTTTGGGATGATTTCAGAGTCTGATTTTAAGTTTAATAAACAGTTTAATTTTGTTCTGCAGAAAAGTGTCTTCCAGTTAGGGGCGGCTGTGGCTTAGTGGTTAGAGCAGTTGTCCTCCAATGCAAGAGTTGGGGTTTCGAATCCACCAGCAGTCACATGTCTAAGTGTCCCTGGGCAAGACACCGAACCCCTCATTGCCTCTGATGTGTGTCCCATCGGTGTATGAATGTAATCTAAGGCACTGATTAATCTCTTTAGAATGATTTGTTCAGTTAGTGTTGTATAGATCTAGTAGAGTGCTGTATGAATGGGCAAACGAGGGCACAGATTGTAGTGTAAAGTGCTTTGAGTGTCTTCATAAGATAGAAAAGCGCTATATAAGCACAGTCCATTTACCATTTACCAGTTTAGGCAGATAGCTAATCTGAAGTGAGTGTTGACCAAATCTGACCTTGAAAAAAATAGTCTATGCTTTCATCACAACCTGACTTGATTACTGTAATGAGCTGTATGATGGGGCCAGTCCGGTCTCCCCTTCACGTCTCCAGTTCGTCCAAAATGCTGATGCTCGGCTCTTAACAGGAACTCGGTTTGAGCACATTTCACCAGTTTTATTGTCCCTTCACTGGCTCCCAGTGTGTATCAGAATATATTTTAAAATTATCCAGTTGACCTTTAAATGCCTAGCTGGCCTTGCACTCTCATATCTCTCTGACATACTTCAACCATATGTTCCTTCTCTGGCGCTGAGAGCATCTGACCAGCTGCTTTTGGTTGTACCAAAAACCAGTTTGAAGTTCAGAGGAGATCTGGCTTTTCAGTCATTGGCCCTAAACTTCTGAACAATCTGCCTCTCAATATTAGACAGGACACTTCACGTCCTGTTTTTAAATCTCTTTTAAAAACATCTGTTTTCAGTGACTTTTAACACAGTGTGATTTGATTTAGTATTTTATCGTTTTGCGCTTTTATGTTTTTCTTTTGATACTTTTAATTCAATATTGTTATTATTTTTCTTTAAATTACTGTCATTGATTCTTTGTTAAGCACTTGGGTAACAGCTGCTGTTTTTAAATGTGCTTTATAAAGAAATTTGACTTGACTTGATCCCGTGTCAGTACTTTGTGTTTCTTTACTTAACTTGACAATTATGTCTGCAATCGAGTCAATCAGCAGTTTCTCCTCTCCTACACAGTTTATGTAACTGGCCCTTCAGATCCAGACGATCAGCACACGGTCAGAGTTGGCATCTGAGCTGTTCCTGCTTGCATGAAGTTATTCCTGCATTAAGGAAAGACTGGGCAGCCTGGCCATGACAGTGCACAGACACATGAGCATTGTGTTGTTGAAAGACTGCACCCAGGTGCTGCCTCAGGAAGAGTAACATGTGCCTGCGCAGTAAGGTGACGCAGACTCAGACCCTGTGGCTCCCCCCACCATGATACCATCTGTAACATCAGTAGGTTGCTCCACAACAATGGTTCTCTCCTCTCTGTGCTGCCATGCATGCACACAATGGTCATCTATGGTAATGCAGAACTGAGATTCAATGCTAAATATCTTCCAATCAAGGCCATTTGTTATCAGCCGATGCTTTCCATTTACACAACCACTCGAAGCACAGCTGCTCTGGGGTTAATGTCACGGGACGGTTAATCTGTGGTCCAGCTGATTCCAGCAATCAACACGCCTCTACTTCCAACACGTCTGTCACTCCTACTGCACATCTCAATGTCTCACTGTCCTTGTACATTTTCCTGCACTACCTCATATTCGTCTCTGCCTCACCGACTTCCTCTTACAGTACCACAGTTCCTCTCTTGGTGCCTTAGCTCATGCCGTCTCAGGATTACGCATCCTGCCGTTGTTTCACAATAGTTAACTTACTTCACATTTTTGTTTTTAAAAACATTTATTTGAAATTTAATTTCACTAACAGCCTAAAATTAAAACTGATGCTTTAATTTAATTTATATTTGTGAAAATAGGATGGATGTGGTAGTGAATATTTGGAGTTTTAATCAAGGTTCAGTGATGCTAAAAGGATGCAAGGTGACACAGTATGCAAAGGGAAATGCTTTATTGTGACGAAAATAGGGGTAGTCTAATGGTCGAACAAATATCAATTATATCAATGATGTCTCCCATTTATTTGAACAGGAAAATGCAGTATTTTTTATATAACTCTTACACTTCTGAAACATAGCCATTTTGGTCTTTTTTCACCCAATATGTCTCTCACTGCTGTAAGGCTAACGGTTCTGTCTCAAGTCCTTTCAGAATGGTACATCCAAATGCTCACCGACTCCCATGATCTCTGAAATTTGTCTTCTAAATGCAGAAGTGTACTAGTCATAACTCCTAAAATAAACACTATAGAAACACAATAAACATGAATAACTCAATACCTTTGTTTTTTTTTTTTTACTTTAACTTAAAGCCTTTGCACATTGACTGAAGATCTGAAGCCTAATTTATAGTCTGTATTTCTGTTTGACTTTTTAAGATGTTAGTCACTGAGTAAGAGATGCAAGTGTATGGTTAATGTGGTGATGAATAAAAATGAGTGAGCAAGCAGCAGCTTTAACATTTCTTTTAATCTTGGTTTGCTTTACTTTTTTTAAATACAAATTGTATTAACATGTCCACATTTTATTCTAGTATTAAGAGGGCCAAGGCCACATATGCACAGAGAATCCAGGGTCAATTCACCCCACAAGACTCAGGGAGCATGTGGAGGAGCATTAAGTGCATAACCGATTATAAAAGCAGGAGTGAACAATGCACTAGAGACCCATCACTGCCTGATGCCCTCAACAGGTTCTACGCACGCTTTGAAGACCCGAACAGACCACCCAGCACCAGACTCACCTCACCACCGGATGAAGAGCATCTCAGCGTGACCTAAGCCCAAGTAAGGAGTACTTTCAGGAGGATTAACCCTCACAAAGCAACCGACACAGACAACATCCCCGGGAAGGTGTTGAAAGAATGTGTCGACCAGCTCTGCGAGGTGCTGGCAGACATCTTTAACTCCTCACTCATACTGGCAACAGTTCCCACCTGCCTGAAGACCGCCACCATCATCCCAGTCACAAAGAGCTCTACAGTAACTGGTCTGAATGACTATCGGCCAGTGGCCCTCACCTTGATAGTTGCTAAATGCTTCAAAAAATTGGTCCTGACCCACATCAAAACAACCATCAAATTCAGCGAGGACCCTCAACAGTAAGCATACCGTAAGAATTTATCAACAGAAGACGCCATCTCCTCTGTGATCCACACTGCTCTCACCAACTTGGAGCAGAAGGACTCCTACGTCCATATGCTCTTTGTGGACTTCATGTCTGCCTTCAACACCATGATCCCTCAAACCCTGATGGACAAACTACTCACACTAGGACTAAGCCCCTCTGTTTGTAACTGGGTTCTAGACTTCTTAACAAACAGACCTCAGTCTATGAGGATCCACAACTTCTACTCTTCCATCATAACCTTCAGTACTGGCTCCCCTCAGGGATGTGTGCTGAGCCCTCTCCTGTTCACTCTGCTCACGAATGACTGTGCACCTACCCATACAGGTTGGCACATTGTAAAGTTTGCAGATGATACAGCGGTGGTGGGATGCATCACAAACAACAACGAGTCCAGCTACAGGCAGGAGGTGGAACACCTGGAGAGCTGGTGCAGGAAGAACAACCTTCACATCAATGTGAAGAAGACGAAGGAGATGGTCATGGATTTCAGAAAAAACAACCCCACCCCCCGCCCCTTTGAACATAGGAGGCTCTGTGGTGGAAGTGGTCTCCAGCTACAAGTACTGTACACCTGAATGACAACCTCAGTTGGGGCAACAACATCACCAGCCTTATCAAGAAAGCTCATCAGAGACTCTACTTCCTCAGACGAGCTGGTCTGGGAAGCTCAGTCCTCACCTCCTTCTACAGGTGTGCAGTGGAGAGCATCCTGTGCTCCAGCATCAACGTGTGGCATGGAGGCTGCACAGCTGCAGAAAGAAAAGCTTTGCAGAGAGTGGTGAAGGCTGCACAGAAGATGTTGGAGTCAGTCTCCCCACCATCACAGACATCTACACCTCCAGATGCAGGAAGAGAGCCACCTGCATCATGAAGGACCCCACTCACCCAGCACAAACACTTTTTGCCCTGCTCTCCTCAGGAAGGAGGTTGAGGAGCATTAAGTGTAGAACCAGTAGACTGAGGAACAGCTTCTACCCTGAGGCTGTTAGACTCATGAATCTCTAACAAGAATAATCACTGTGAAAAATCACATCATGTTGCTGCTGATCTGTTTCATGTTGCTGCTGATCTGTTTCATGTTGCTGTGTTCATGCGTGCTCATCTGCTCACACAGACTCATGTTCGTGCGGCTGTTTGACGTATTATGTTGATTGTTTTTATGCTATTAGTGCTTAGTATATTTTTATCTGATATTTTTCTTAGTTCTTAGCCTTAGCTATTATTACTGTTTTTCTTTTACATTTTATTGTTGGATGTAACTGGGACCCTTTGTACATAATTTCGTTCCACCACATGTGGTGAAATGACAATAAAGAATCTCTGAATCTCTCTCTGAATCTCTGAATTTTTCATCTGCTTAGATTATCACAAAAATGAGTCCCAAATTATTATGGTCTTTATAGAAGAAGGCTAAAGGCTGGTGTGTGTAAGAATTTCAGGTGCTCTGACACCTTTAAAATAAAATCCTCAAAATGTTTTGGTTCTTCATCTTTGCTTTGGGCTCTCACTGAACCTCCTCTGCTGAGCACCGAGTGATTGACGCACCTAACTGGCCAATCACACGCAACCTTTCCAGGAGCCATGAGGGGCGGGGCGTGTCGAAACCCCTCACAGACATCAGAGGGAGCCGCTGTACAACAGGAGCCAGGGGCGGAGCCGCCAGGGAGGACGATAGGACAGGTAATCCGCCATGGACGTATCAGACTAACGGAATCCAGACCCGGTCCCCGTCAAGTCCGCGACAACATGTCCACGGACGAGGCAGCGGGTCACCGCGAGGAAGGGGAATATGGAAGGGCGGCGAAGCGCCTGAAAACCGACAAGCCGGGGCCGGAGGATGAGCTGGAGGAGGGGGAGGACTCGGACAGTGGCTCCCTGCCCGGGAACGGAGAGGCAGAGAGCCGGGCCCGGTGGAGAGGGGGCCAGAAGGTAAGGAATTGGAGATATTATTACCCGACGACAGCCCCTCAGCACTGCAAAGGTAGGGGCGTGAGCGCGCGCACTCGTTTGCTGCTGTCGTCATTTTGTCAGAAGGTGCATGGCAGCATCCTCTCCGTGCAAACACTGCATCACATCCAGGCTGCTTTGAGCTCTCTGTCCTGCTCTGTGTGAGACAGCAGCTGAAGAATCAGTGGAATGATAGCTGAACTCATTGAGAGTTTTAGTCTTATTTATTGGCAAAGTCCATATGGTGAAAAAAGCACATTTTAAATTCTCAAGCACAGAAAGTCTCTGATGAGGCAAAACACTGTTCCGAGGTTCACAAACGCTCACTGATGTCATATCAAATAACAGGCTGGAAATGATTTATTTGAACTATACCTTTTTCAGGATGGAATGCAACACACAACTTCAATTATTTTAAGATTTTAATGTGGAATGTTTTTAATCCACCACTGATAGCACTAATTACAATTTACAGCAACGGGAGCTGTTCAAGGAACTCTGACGATTTAGGATGGAGTAGAAGTTGATTTGGATGTTCAGGAAGAACCCAGGAACCACCAAAGCTGAAGCCTGTTAAAAACTGGAAACTGATGAAACACCAGTGGCTCTGTCCACAGGGAAGAGCGTTTTACTTCACCTTGGACTGAGAGGGATGTGACCAAAATAGAAGCCAATGCTCTAAAAGTGACACCTTCAAGCTGGACTGAAAATTTAAGCTGCCCACATGTACAAGCCAAATATCCATCCATCCATTATCTTTACCCGCTTCTTCCTTTTCGGGTCGCGGCGGTCACTAGTGTCATTCAGTTATCACTGTGCGAGAGGCGGGGGACACCCTGGACAGGTCTCCAGTCCATCACAGGGACAGAGACAAACGAGACAAACATACATTCACACTCTCACACCTAGGGACAATTTTAGAGTTGTCAATCAGCCTAACATGCATGTTTTTGGTCTGTGGGAGGAAACCGGAGTACCCGGAGAAAACCCACACATGCACAGAGAGAACCTGCAAACTCCACTCAGAAAGGTCGTCAGCAGGGATTTGATCAGGCAACCTTCTTGCTGGGAGGCAACAGGTCTGCCAACGTTCCGCTCTAAGCCAAAAATACTCTGGAGACTAGTTTTATGGTCAAAGAGAGACAAGATCTATTTAGCCACAACGATCAGCTGTTTGTTTGGATGAGTCAAGGTGAAGCTTTCAGATCTAAAAACACTGCACCGACTGTCAAGCATGTTGTTGGTAGCATCATGATGTGGTACTGATGCATTGCACAAAATGGAGGACTAATGAAGAAGAAGATCTGCCTCCAGTTTCCTCTCAAATCAACAGACACAGGTGTTCCAGCAAGACAATGATTCCTAAAACACATCAAAACTGGTTTCTGAATGGATCAGGCAGACATCAGTCTTCTGGATCAGCCTTCTCAAAGCAAACAACAATCTTACAGAAAAGCTACAAAGCCTAATCCATACAGGGAACCCCATCATTGAACTCTACCCAGAATGTGTGGTCAAATGTCCAGTCAGAATTATGCCAGAAGCTCGTTGATGGACACAAAAGGCTATAAAAGGGGTGCAACATTTTAAGGTACATGCAACCAACCATCATTGGGTTTGCCTGTATATATTCTTTGTCCCTGTGTGGACTAGAGGAAATCCACAGTAAATTCAAACTTGTAAACAAAAAAAGTCATTGAAGTAGTGTGTTGTGTTCACCTGGGACAAAATAGTCCAAATAAATCATTAAAACACTCAAATTATAATGACATTCACACCCGTCTGGGTGGATTTAAACATGCTCTGAAAAAGGTTATGAGCTTAAAGTTATTATAGTATATAAAGTGAATATAGCATATTATTAAGACCCTGCTAATAAAAGTGTTCCTATTTCACCCATAGCTTTATAATTATGTTCTCTTAAGCCTTTTGAACTTCTAATCTAAACCAAGTATCAGTTCTTTTTCCTGCAGTTTAACAGTAATTTACAGAAGTAAGATGATTTCAAGATTATTTATACAAGCTCAGTAAAAACAACTGCTGTTGATTGACCAAAATGTATGTATAATAATAATAATGTCATCACAATGTCAGCACTGTATGTTTCCATACAATGGCGAAATTAGTCTCTGCATTTAACCCATCCACCACCAGGTGGTGCAGTGGGCAGCTATTGAAAGCGCCCGGGGGACATTTTGGGGATTAGACGTGCTGCCCAGAGACGCCACGTGATGTGCAGTGACTGGGGATCGAACCTGGGACTTTCGGGTCCCAAACCGGCTGCCCTGCCTCTACACCATCTCGGCCCCATACACCATCTCGGCCCCATAAAATATGCAAAAGACCATCAAATACAAAAGAGAACAAGTAAACTCATTAATAATCGTTGTAAAGGCAGCAAAACCTTAAAGTTAATGAAACCATTCCTTCACACTGATCTAAAAACCAGTAAAACATAGGCCTGTCACCATAACAAATTTTGCTGGGCGATTCATTTTCTCAGAAATTATTGCGATAAACAATAATATTGTTTGAAATTTGACCATAATTACTAATTAATTTTACTTTTTACTTTTTACTTTTGCTATTAATTTACTAATTAAATTTAAGGCAAAATGATGGTAATTCGTTTTGTGTGTAGTACCTTTTTTCGACCACTAGATGGCAGTATAAGACTGTTTGAACCGAAGGATGGATAGTGAGGGAGCGAGCAGCGTGTTTCTTTAAGAAAAATGGGAGGGAGGACACTTGACGTGACATGGGCTGTCCCTCGTTTCTGTTTTTCGATTCTCAAAACGGCAGATGCTTGGTGTGGTTTGAACTCTTTAGCATAGCATTTTTCACACAAAGCTTTTAATAAAAAAAATCAGTAAACAAATTCTCAGCTTCTTTTTGCAGAGAAAAACAGCTTTTTACACAAAGACACGGGTTTCAACCGTGAGTTTTGGAGCTTCGACAAGACATAAGTTTTTTCCCCCGAAGTCGGCCTGTTGCTTAGCTTCTCAGCTTAGCTGCTTTTAACGATCCAAAAACACGATTTTGGATAATTAAAACAGATTTGAAAGAGAAAAGAGAAAGAGAGGGGTCAATGAAGAGCACCGAAGTTGAGTCTTTTGTCATCCAGTGTCTTCAATAGAAAGAGAGAGACACGAAGAAACAATAAAGTCGATAAATGAAAACGAGGTTGATAATTTTCATTTATCATGCGATTAATTGATTTATTGTTTATCGCGACAGGCCTAATAAAACGTGTTTTAAACTTTGGATTTTGAGAATTGGTGCCTGTTTAATATGAATGTTAAACTCAAATGATGTGGAGGACATAAAGCTGCAAGAGGTCAGAGAGATACACATGACCCGTTAGATGCTTTATACTGTATGTCATCAATAAAACTTTAAAATCTACCCTCTCAGGGTGACAGTGAGGTAAGTCCACACAGGAGAGATACGATCAAACGTTGAAGTTCACACACACACACACACACACACACGCACGCACGCACGCACGCACGCACGCACGCACGCACGCACGCACACACACACACACACACACACACACACACACACACACACACACACAGCTACAATAACCTAGTTAGGATGTAAAAAAAGCACAGATCTCTCTTTCAAAGCCCTTAAAAGATACAAAGGATTTTACTGTAGAGAAACGCTTCATTTAAAAAAAGGGTCCTCTTTAACACTGAACACAACTGTTTCTCAGTTAAAATTAGAATTAAATTTCACAATCAAATCTTTTGTTTTTGATTTTTGACAGACTCCAGCCTTCCAAGATCTATAAGAGAGGTCCTTCAGTATCTGAGCACAGACATAATCACTTCAGCTTTATTCTCATTAAAGCAGATGAGGACGTTCAAATCATTCTGAGCTTTAATATTAGAAAGTTGATCTAAGATTGAAGACTTTAGTTGAAATTAATGACTGGTTAATTTTTAAAGGTTAATTTGAGTGTTAGCTATGTAATTATGAAAATAGGTGATGTATTTTTTAAGATGAGGGGGGAGCAGAGAAAAGTAAATTCTCCTTGTGTCACTGTGGTTGGCTCTGTGTGTTTCAGGATAATGTTGAAGACTCCCATCTCATCTCGCCTAGTCCTGTGGTCCATGTCAGGGGTCTTTGTGAGGCTGTGGTGGAGGCTGACCTCATCGATGCGCTGGAGAAATTTGGAGCCATATGGTGAGACAGTCACCACTGTGCCTGTACTGTATGTGATGGGTAAATAGCCAATTAAACAATTATGGGGCAAAGCAGTAACTATTAGCTTGCTTGTTTACATCCTAATTGTTATTTCATGTCAGTTTTTGACCACAACTGGTCGTGATACAAGAATCATCAGAGCTGTGCAACATGCTTGCGATTGCTATTTATTGACATATAGGTGACGTTGAGAACTGATAATCAGTTGTGGTTCCACTCGTTAATGACACAGTGCCATAACCAGCTACCATACCATACCATTTTATTTATAGAGCACTTAAAACAGCTACAAGGCCAACCAAAGTGCTGTACAGACAGAACAACAGACAACACACAAAGCAATATACAAAATGAGGTAAATCAGAAATATAGACATAAAAATGATGCAGATAATGACGACAAACGAGTGTGGCGCATACAGGTTCAAAACACAGATCATCTTGTGTTGAAAGCTACTGAATAGTAGTGAGTTTTTAAACGGGACTTGAACACCGAGAGGGAGGAGGCCAGTCTGACAAGCAGAGGTAACTCGTTCCAAAGTCTTGGTCCTGCTTCAGAGAAGGCCCTGTCACCTCTGCGCTTAAGACGAGTTCCTGGAACTGTGAGGAGCAATTGGTCCGTTGACCTCAGGGAACGTGGAGGGACATACGGTTGTAGCAGATCAGAGAGATTGAAACTGTTCAGTGATTTGTAGACATACAGGAGTATTTTGAACTGGATTCGAAGGTGAACCTGTAGCCAGTGCAGTGAGGCCAAAACTGGTGTGATGTGCTCTCTTTTGCCTGTACTGGTTAAAAATCGGGCTGCTGCATTCTGGACCAGTTGTAGTCGTGCAATGTAGGTCTGACTGATACCAAACAGGAGTGAATTTCAGTAATCAAGCCTAGATGTAATGAATGCAGGTATTACTGTCTCCAGGTTATTTTTGGACAATATGGGCTTCAGTTTAGACAGCCGCCTCAGTTGGAAGAAACATGATTTAACAATCATGTTTACATCATTGTTAAGTTTCAGGGAAGGGTCCATTATCACTCCCAGATTAGTGACTCTTTGTTTTTCTGACAGGGTTAGAGCGGAGAGGTCGATGCAGTGGTTTGTGATTGTGTCGTTCGGAAGGAACAACATGATTTCAGACTTCTTTTCATTGAAACTTAAGAAGTTTAAAGACATCCAGTCCCTGATGTCAGCCAGGCAGTTGAGCAGCGGTTGAATAGAGCATGTACCATTATGTCTTAGGGGGAAGTAAATTTGACAGTCGTCGGCGTAGAAGTGAAAGGGTATGTTGTGTTTCCGGAAAATAGCACCAAGTGGCAGCAGGTATAAAGAGAATAGGAGGAACCCAAGGATGGACCCCTGCGGAACCCCCCCATTTAAGCTCTGTCGCTGCAGAACTAAAATCCTTGATGGAGACACAAAAGGATCTGAACCAATTGAGGGCTGACCCTGTGATGCCCACCCACTGCTCCAACCTAGCAATGAGGATCTCATGGTCGATGGTGTCAGAAGCGGCTGTGAGGTCCAATAGGACAAGCAGCACAGAATCACCAGTATCTGTGGATCTGAAGATGTCATTAAAAACCTTCAATAGGGCAGTTTCAGTGCTGTGGAGAGGTTGGAAGCCAGATTGGAATAGCTCTAAGATGGCGTGGTCCTCCAGGAAGCACTTCAACTGGGACTCAACTATTTTCTCCAGTATTTTAGAAATAAATGGGAGTTTGGAGACAGGTCGGAAGTTGGATACGATTCAGGGCTACGACTGAGCTAGTGTGCACTGCCCACTCAGCATGAGGTCAGGTTGACTCAAACACAGAAGGAGTAAAGAGGATGCGCTCCGAGGTAATAGAAAGCGGTGTAACTGGTTAGCTCAGTAAGAAATCAGAAATGTTTTCACGTGGGTGTCTACAGTTTGAGTGCCACTTAGGGAGGACTCCTTTTTCTTGCCAACCGAGGATAAATTCAATGTTCTATGTCATATAGGCTTCGCCCTTTAAGGCTGTCGCTGATGGGTTTATCCCGTTATGCGCAAGCATCGTACTGAAAAAATTAGTCCACGCCCACCTGCTGTGTGGGCCCCACCCGATCCGTATAAATTACGTTAAGAGCGGGTAATCTGCTCCCAGTTTTTCTTCAGCAAGCATAATAAAACAAGAATAAACTGACCTTTTTCGTCGAGATGTCCAGCTCCAGCACCATCCGTTTGTGTCCCTCGTGCAAGACCGGCTACTTGCTTAGCTTCGACCGGCACGACACCTGCGAGGGATGCCTGGGTCCCCGCCACGTCGCTCGCGCTTCCTCCTGCCGCCTCTGTGACGAGCTTCCACCGGAGGAAAGACAGAGGAGAGCAGCCTTGTTTAAGGCTACCATCGAGGACTGCCTGTCCGTGGCGGGAGACTGTTCGCTGGACGACGCCATGGATTTCTTCGACGCCGGCTCTCGGAGTGAATCGGATGATTCCTCTGGGACCGGTGACGCTAGCAGCAGCCCCGACGCTCGTTCCCTCCTGGGGAGCGCAGTGTTGGAAAGAGGGAGGCCGAGCGGATGCTCGACTCCCCCGGGGTTTCCCGCCTCAGCGACCACATCGCTCCCTGCCGTGGGCGCGCTCCTCTCGGAGCTGCCCGCCATTATCCGGGAAGCTGCTAGCGTTAAGGGGCTCTCCGTCCCCTCACCCCCCCCGCTCAGATTGGATGATCTTGCGGGAAGGTTTGGCTCCACGCCGGCTCGCCGTCCTGATCCCATTTGGCCTCGTTTTCCTGCGGTGACAGCGTACTGGAACGAGGCCGCAGCCGGTCCTGGTAGGTTAAGGGCGCCCGTCTCCACTTACGCCCCCATCACCAGAGTGGAGGGGTTCACCGAGCGGGGCTTTCCCTCGGTACCCCCCCTTGAGCCAAGCCTCGCGGAAGCCTTCGGAGCGAAGATGTCCAGGCTGGAGAAGCGTCCCGTCCCTCCGGGGAAACACGACCAGGTGGCGACCGCGCTCTCCAACAGAGCCCACCAGTGTGCTTTTCAGGCGGCCGCGGCTAACAACAACGTGGCGCTGTTAGCATTTAGCATGTCGAAGAGGCTGGAGGCCTCAGGCCTGCCGGAGGAGACAAAGAGCTCCCTGTGTAAATCGGCAGACGCCGTCCTCAACATGTGCGCCGCTTCCACGGTTTGCCTGTCGAGGATTGCTTCATGGATGACGGTAATCCAACGCTCCATCTGGCTCCGTCACTCTCCATTGCTGCCGGAAAAGCTGCACAAGGACCTCATGGAGGGCCCCATCTCATCGGACGCGCTGTTCGGAAGCAGCTTGAAGACCATGCTGGCGAATTCCAAGCAGTCGGAGGAGATGTCGGAAGCGGTACGTCATCTCATCAAGCCGCGCGGTTCATCCCGTCCCCCAGCTCGCTGGAAGGATCGTCGAGAGCAGAGGCAGAAGCACCGACGCTCCACGGCAGCAGCAGCTTCGTCTCGCCCAGCTCCACCACCAGCCCCGCCCGCCAGAGACCACCCCTCCTCAGCCCGGCAGCCTGCACTTCAGCGTTTCCCCAGAGATCGCCTGCAGACGGCGCTCGGGTCAAACAAACCGCAGAGCTCACGAGGGAGAAGGTTTAAGAAATGACGGTCTGCGGGGGATGTGTGTATGAACGAAACAGGAAGTGAAATAAATGATTTTTCAAAAATCAGAATGCCTGTTTTTAGCCAGTCTGTAAGTTCGGATGAGCTCACAGCCGCTACACACACATCCTCCACACAGAGAGAGCCGGTGGCATTAAATAAAGGTTTTTTAAACCCACCGCCGCTCCTTCACATGCCCAGACGCTCACGTGACACCACGGTAAGCGAAATATCTTGTTGTCAAACAGAACCGCACGATCACCACTCAAACGGTGTTAAACGCGCACCCGAGCGAGACAAGCAGCGTCCATCCAAACGGCACTGTGCCGATGATGCACGCACAGCTGCCCGGCGCTCACCGGCTCACATCGGGATAAATGTGGGACCGCAGGCCGGGTCCGGTGGAGGTCCCCGCTCTCAGCAAAAACAACACACGTTTTTCCTGAATAAACGCGAACAGCCGTCACCCATCGCGCCTCTGCGATCAGCAGCTCACGGCGACATAAGCGTGAGACAGCTGAATGAATCCAATGACGGGCCCCGCCCTCAGCGAGAGCGGCGCGCGTCCCTCCAGAGGAAACGTGCGCTCCCGCGAAGTTCACAACCTTCACTTCGACAGCACGGCGTTGATGACGTCACGCCCTCCACCTCTCAACGTTCGCACAGCGACGTTAAACGTGCAGCCTCTGGACGTCACCAGCTGACACACGCCTCGCCTCAGCGCACACCGCCCCGCCCGGACATGAAGGTTGGTCCGCGATCCAGTCACAGCGCACGGGCGCGCGCAGAACAGCCCTTTCGAGAAAGCCTCGCCTTGGGTCACGCGGAAAACATTTCCGCGACGCATGACGGCGGTCGAGGCGGAGGTTTGGATGACATCCGTTCAAAACACGGCACATCATTTAAACGCACGTCCACTCCACGAACGTCACGCAGAGTGGTTAAAAACATGCTCACCGGACAGATGGATGGACAGAGTGTTATGCAAGGGTTACACGCTGCAGTTTGCAACCCGACCCCCTCCGTTCGGAGGAGTTATAGAGACGGTCCTATCATCACCAGACCAAGTCTCAGCCTTAAATGCAGAAGTCCAGGAGCTTCTGATAAAAGGTGTAATCTCAAGAGTTCCCAACGAGGAGGAAAACACAGGGTTTTACTCACGCTACTTCCTGGTCCCCAAAAGGACCGGAGGGATGAGACCGATTCTGGATCTGTCAGCTTTCAACAAAGCGATCATGAACAGACCTTTTCACATGTTGACGAACAGACAGCTGTTGGACAACATCCAGAAAAACGACTGGTTTGTTTCCATCGATCTAAAAGATGCTTATTTTCACATACCAATCATCCCAAAACACAGAAAATTTCTGCGTTTCGCCTTT